CAGTTTACAAAGAGGATCTACGCCGGGGGTGGCCAGGTCAACGTCCGGGCGCCCGCAATTAAAATGGAATGGATGCATGTGCCCTGGAGCAGCCTGAAGACAAGATCTGGCACGCTCAGATTCGCCCGTTCTCTAATAAAGCAAAAAAAAATTAAAAAATAAAACAACAACCCCCAAACCCCACAAAAAACTCTGCTGCCTTCAATCCAAGCCGGACATGGGGAAAGGGTTTTTTTTTATGTAATCAATCTGGACTACAACTCCCAGAATCCCTCAGTTAACCCAGCTGTAGAATTCTGGGAATTTTAATTCCACAAATAAAGGAACTTACGTTTTGATGTTTTCATGGTACACCTTGGTATCTGATGGCTGGTTGTAAAGCGGCTGCAAGGACAGAAAAAGATTTTGAGGTTACGTCGTCCTCAAAGCCCATCTGTCCATTTCCGCAGAGAAAGTGCTGGCGGCAGCTTGGCTTCCACAGCAGCCGCTGATTCAAAAGGCCCAGACTACAAATCCCATCCGCTAGGACCCTAAAGCTCAAACAAAGGCAAACCACGCTGACCATGACATAGCTCTTTTTTTTTTTGGCAATGATTTCAGGAGGTATCATGGCATTCAACAGGCTGGCCAGGGAAACCCCTGAGTCTTTCTGACCCATGGTGCCCTAGTGAAAAGGATCGGGTTACGGAGAGGTACAGCTATGAGCCGCCACTTTGGGAGCAGCCCTGTCCTTCAACACCAGTATCGCACAAGAGCGAGAACCCGCTCTGCGACCATGGGAGACTCAGGGGTGTTTCCCAGGACTGAGAGAGGAAAGCGCCTCCCGAACATGAGGGTTCCCCAGCCCTTCTAGCAAACCTTTGACCCTAGGGGCCTTCTCCTCTATTGTGACACCCTGCGCTACAACTCCCATTGATCCTTCCACTGGTCACGTTGGCTTCTGGGAACTCCAAGCACATCAGGACAGCCGAAAAGTTCCCCTCTGATGCTCCAGAAAATGCTGCAAACTCTTTTTTTTTTCAAATGGTCACCGAGCAAGCACCAAACCATGAATCCAGGGACTGAAGTTATCCCAAAAAGTCATGCTTTTTAAACTCTGGGCGAAATCAAGACCCACGATCTTCCCCACCTCTGGCAAAACATTCTTCACCCACAGGTCTCCAGTTCTCCTTCTGAAGGAAGTTCGCGGCCCATTTAAGGAGCAAAAGCCAGTGACGTCCGACCCGCCCTTGCATCCTGGAGTCACAAGGTTGCTCACCAGTTCAACTTTGGGCCCCAGGCCTTCGAAGATCTTGTGAGCTTCTTCTGCTTTTTTCTGAAAAGGGCAGAAAGAATCACCATCATTTGCTTCTCCAGAAACTCTATTTCTTAGTTAGGTTTCTGTACTTTCCTCTGTTTCTTTCCTCCTCTTTTCCCCTTACAAGGACCAAGAGAGGTAGGTCAAGCCGCGAGACACAGAAACAAAATGCGGCCAGCCGTAATATTGATATGAAAAGGACAATTTGCACTACGACTCAGGAGTCTTTTAAGAGTTTGACAAGGCAAAGTGCTCAATTCACCTAAAGGTAGTGGCGATCTTTAGCTTTTGCTAAGGAAGGAAGGAAGGAAGAAAGAGAAAGAGGGAGGAAGGGAGGAAGGAAGGGAGGGAGGGAAGAGGAAAAAGAGGCCAAACAGACACAAGGGAATAAATGAACACACAAGTAGCTAGAGGATATGTGATTAAAATTGCCCCTAATAACTCCAGCCTGGAGAGCGAGTAGAGGCTGGAAAACAGGAGGAAGACCCCTGCTGAAGGGGGGGGGAGTTAATCCTGTGAAGGCCTCTGCCTTCAGAGCCAGAGGGTGGGAGTTCGAATCCCCCACAGTGCCTCTTTGGCAGGGGCTGGACTGGATGATCCACAGGGACCCCTTTCCAGCTCTGCCGTTCTATTATTATTTTGTGCTCTGTTGCTGTAAATGTTTCAGTACTGATTTTATTACCGTTTTTAATATAACACTTGTCTAATCCTTTTTAAATACTTGTATACCTGCTGTTTTTAGCTTTTAATTATTGCTTTTTTAAAAAAATGATGTATGCCATCTTGGGTTCTTTTTAGCGACAAAGGTGGAATAAAAATATTTTAAGTCAATAAATCATAAATGAGATGGTGGTGTGTGAATGATGTATGACACCTTGGGTTCTTTTTAGGGAGAAAGGTGGAATAAAAATATTTTAAGTAAATAAATCATAAATGAGATGGTGGTGTGTGGAAGGGTGGTGAGCATCCTTCTCTCCTGCTGCTGCAGCCATCGGGCCCCACGCGTGCGCCCGATCCGCCTGAGCCACAGAGGGCTGCCAAAGACTCATCCGTCCGCCCTAACCCAAACCAGAGCCACAGGCCTTTAAAATACGTGGCTTCAAAAGCCAAACCCACAGACCCTCAAAGCCACCGGATGCGTTACCCGGTTCTCGTCGTAAATGATCTGGACGATGCTGCGGTGCTTTTGTTCCACCGGCGGAGGGGAGACGGGCCTCTCGGGCTCGGGCGGTTTTGCTGCTTCTTCTTCCAGTTGTTGCTAGGAGACAGAAATTCAAAAAAGGAAAAGGTGTGTGCATTGGGGGGGGTGGAAGAGAACTTAGCCATCCCTAATGAGGAAGACCTTCCCCCTCTCCCGCACACCCACGGGCAATGAGTCACCAGCGAGGAGGCTGCCTTCTGGATCAGCCCGTTTGCTCTGATGGGCAAAGCCATGGGGAGGGGTGGCAAGAGAAAATGCAACAGCTCAGAGTGGACACTGCCACCCAAGGACATTTTCCCCTCTTTTAAGTTGGGGAGGGCAGATGATTCCCCAACGCTCTTGGATGCCACTAAAGAAGAGGTGGGAAGGCCCACACTCCTCCACCTGCTCGGTTTGATGGGGACACGGGAGAAGCGCCCTCTCGGCAGCTGCTACCCAAAGGGTGGAATTCCCTTCTGACTAAAGCTCAGGGGTTCCCTTCCCTAGAAATGGAAAATTTCCAAAAATTTCCATTTTTCCTGGGGGGGGAAGATTTCCCCCCCTTTTAATGGAAATTCTCAGAAATTTTACATCTCTACTCTTGCCTGATTTTTTTTTCTGCCTGTAAATGCCAACACCTTCCCATTTAAACAGCCCTTCAGCTACTAGCTGGCTGCTCGGGGAGAATATTTTGACGGTGGGTCCCGTACATTCACTTTTCCCCTGTTCTGCTTTGCACTGGCTTTTCGCCTGTTTTCAATCAGGGCTTCTCCCCGTTTATTTACTTGGACCTGAACAGGAGAAAGTCTCTTCCAACACCCTGTTTAGAGCAGGAGAGAAACTGTGGTAGTGCTGCTCAGCTCCTGTCGGCCCCACGCCAAATGATCAGGTCACACCACCCACATCCCCCGGAGTACAAGACCGGGCACACGAAGGGGAGGCAGCCAAGGTGGGGAAACGCTTAGGTCACGCGCTCCTTCCTCCGTCTCATAACAGAACAGGATACGGACCCTATTCTTTGCTTTTTAAAAAAATGTAGCTGTTTTGAATTCATGCTGGAAACTGCTGAGGATCCGACACCGGGCGAAAAAGTGGGACCTCAATGAAACGAAGCATGACTCACTTGCTTCTTCTTCAGCTTGAGGATCTGCTGCTCGACCTTGGCGATCTCCCGGTCCACCCGATCCATGCTCTGGATGAGCTCTTCCTTCGACAGCTTGGACGGAGAAGAGTTCTGGTCCTCTCCGCAGGGCTGGCCTGACAGGGGCGAGGGGGGCCCTTCATGCTTGCCTCCAAACGCCGGGTCCTTGCAATTGAGGGACGGAGGGGGGAAGAGGGGGAAGAGGGAGCAGAAAATGAGAGGCAACGGTCCCTCCATCAGCAAATGGCCAGTCGGGTTTGTGGGCTGAAACAGCCACAATCCCACCTGGGGAATCCTTGGAGAATGCTGGGCGTGGGCGTTCCACAACAAAACCCATAGGGGACACCCTGTCACTGACCTGGACTTTCGTTTGGCAGATCTCGGGGATCGATCAGCCCAGCAAGGGAAGATCTGAACCTGGGAAAGGTGTACCCTTACAAATGTGACCGGACTCCAATGCTCATCATCCTGCCTCACCCTTGGGCTGACTTCCAACTATCCAGAGAGTTTCCAAACCTTCCTGGGCCTGGACTTTCCGACATTTAGCAAGCAGGGGAGACAGCTCGGCAAGCATCCCGAAACCAAAGAGGAGCCAGCCATCTTACAAAGGACCCCCTGTTACAGGGGGCCCACGAATCATCTGGACATTAAGGATGATGGCTCCCACAATCCCTTACTCTTGGCTTGGCTGCCTGGAGCTGATGGGAGCTGTAACTCAAGCTCTGCTCCCCGGCAGCCAGCCAGCCAGCCAGCCTCCTCCTCCTCCTCCTTGCGCTGCACAATACCTTCTTCAGATCCGAGGAGCGCATCCCCTCCTGCAGCTGGTGAGCCAGGGGTAGAACCGCAGCGGCGCTGACTCGTTGGTAGTGGGACTCGGACACCTGATCCAGGCGTGGGCGCTTGGAGTCCAGCGAGTCATGGTCGCCTTGCGAGGGGCCCGGGTGGAACTGGGATTCATAGCCGGATCTCCTCTCTTGAGGCCTGAGAGAGAAAAAGAAAGACAGAGAGTGAGGAAGGGGACGGATGGAGATAACCTGGGGGATCTCAGCTCTGCCACATCTTAATTCTGCCCTCCAAATGGCTCTGAACGGTGAAATTATGGGAGTTGTAGTCCAACCTAGCTGGAAGACATTCCAGATCTGGGGAGGATGGTTTAATAAGACCCTTAAAGAACGGTTGAAGGAACCTTTACCATAACATCTGTTTTGACTACAGCTCCCATTATCCCTGATCCCTGGACTTGCCAGCTTGGGCTAATGGGAGACTGAACCCCACCCCACCCCATCCCACCCAGCTCCACTGTTTTCCAGCTTGGCTTTAAAGGCTGAAACCACCCTCCCTCCAGTGAAGGCTGGACTGATGCCTCGGCTGGCTTGGGGCTGGACTAGATGACCTCTGAGGAAGCCTTCAGACCTGACCCTTCTATCAACATTAGATCTGAGGACTTACACCTGTCTTTACACTCAAACACATCTGTATCATGGAAAGATCCAGAAATCCGAGACCTTCACAACATTCCGGCATTTTTTTTTAAAAAAAGCAAGAAATGCAAATTAACACACACAAAAAACACAGCATTACCTATCAGAGCCGGGATGAAATTCGGAGAGAAGAGAGGGGCGCCGTCGGAGCTGCTGCTGCTGCTGTTGCTGCTGGAGGAGCTGCGTGGCCTGGCTGACTTCCAAATGGGACGTGCGGAAATCGGGAACTGCAAATTCCTGATCCGGGGGGAAAAAAATCAAGGGAATTGAAATGAAAAAAAAAAGAACCGACTCAACTTGGATGAAGCTTCCGGATCGATCCGATTAGATTTTTCAGACCCTCAACTCCCATCTGCTCGAGGCTGCTGACCATGCCGGCCGGGGCAGATGGGAGGTGTAGTCCAACATGCAAGGAATCCGCCACGGTATGTGGGGGGGGGCTGGTCTACAGCATGAGCTTTGACCTACAACGCCCATCATCCTGGCTCAGCGAGGCGACTTTAACAGACCACGGGAGTAAGAGTGCAACTGGAGAGGCCAAAGGTTCACCCGGTTTCTTTATAAAGAGATGGAAAGGGCTTCTAGTGTCTTGAACGTCACGGGACAGTTATTTCCTCCTGGATCTACACTCACCGTGCGAGCTGAAATATTCTGGGACTCGTACTTCGGAGGATAATGAAGTCGGAACAGATTTATAGCAACACTAGTAGGGCTTCGGAGGTAAATGGGACCGTTAAGGAACGGCCATCCTAGTTCCACCCCACAATGAATTACCCTGGCTGAGCAGAGGTTTGAACTCAGGCCTAAGTTACTCTTCCGTGTCCTAGAAGGCCATACTTTATACCAGGGACTTGAGGAGTAGGATTTTACCACTGAGTTCCTAACAGAGATCTCTTACCGGAATGAATGGAAGCCAAAAGCTTCCAAGGAAAAACAATCCATCAGAGCCCATATGATTGGGGGGGGGTGTCCTTGGTCCAGGACCAAGTCTATCCAGAACTGAGCAACGGACAGGTGACTTTTAGGCCATTCCTAATCTCTCTCGGCTTGGTATACCCTATGGGATGGAGGGCGGGGAAAGAAGGCTCCACGTGCCCCTTGAGCTTGGTGGAGGAAAGCTGGTGGAGGAAACCAGGACAATCCTTTGGTGGGAACGTCAATCTGCTCCTGGTACTTAATCTACGTTTTTTTCCCAGTGAGTGGACGGACGAGTCTCATCCTTCTGCCCCTCCCTTTCCTCCAACCCACCGGGCCGTTTACTGTCTGGTTTTCGTTGTCTTACAAAAGTTAGGAAGGGCCAGCTTCCGCCTGTCCAACCCACCCGCTCGACTGAAGGCTGGCCGGCCAATAAGCTGGTGAAATATTAACTGTGGGCCACCTACTATTTGAACACAGTCAAATATTTTCAAAAATATTCCAAGAAACCATGGTGTCGGTGATAAGGTCTTGGCTGGGCGCCTCTTGAGCAGACATGACCTTTAATGTACACAAACACACAAAAACATTAAAATAAAATGGGAAAATGGCCCTCGTTTTCCTTTCTTTTACCTTTCTTTCCCTCCAAATGTTGCAACTTTGTAAAATCAATCTATCAGTCTACCAATCTATCTATCTATCACTCTATCAATCTAATCTACCTATCTATCTATCTGAAATACGTTTACCCCACAAAAAACAGCAAATATATAACTACTAAAAGGGATCAAATAAATACCATACTAACTTTTGCATCAGCTGGCACACAGAAATAAAAATCTAAAATAGAGTCAACTCTGGTCACAGCTTTGCTGGCAGCAGGGCTGAGAAAATGCTGTTTTTTTTCTGGGGTACAAATCCCATCATCCCACAACCACTGGAGATGCCGGGAAGAGGAGACTCAAAATATTTTTTCTAAGTCAAACCAAGCAATGCATGAAATCTGGGGCTCTTGCTTTTTTGGGTTGTTTTTTTTAATTGCAATGGCCTAGGGAAAACCCTGGAACTCATACAGAAGCCTATGATTTGAATGACCCCTTTCGAAATCTGCACGGAGACGTCCCACTTGCCTGCTGGTGTCGGCCCCCGGGAAACGTGTACTGGACCGAGTGCGTTGGGTACCGGCTCTGCTCCGTGCTGAAGGCGCCCTGGTTCGGAGGGTAGCCCGAGCTGGACATTCTCGAAGGAGGAGGAGGAGGAGGTGGTGGTGGTTTCGTCTTTGCAAAGCGGGAGATCACGAGGGGCGGATGACCTGGCTTCCAAGAAAACACCTGAAGGAGGAACAAAATAAAGCAGGTGAGAGGAAGCCATGGAGAGACAGGATGTCGTTGTGTCACGGTCCACCCTGGTACAGCTCTTCCTGACAGATTAACGTTTTTTATTAAAATAAAAAAAATTAGGAATAGATATTTTCATAATATATTTACCAGAGCAGGCCAGTAGAGGGAGCGAGAGGCCAGGCTATGTATGCTTGCTGTTGTACAGTACATACGTACAGTACTGTATTTCTGGATATATGGTATGCTTGCCATTGTATATACGTACAGTACTGTATTTCTGGATATATTTACCATGCTTTGTAAAGTGTTCACTATTATCTGCCGTTTCAGCATCTGCAGGGCAACTTGGAGACAAACCCCCCACACACACAGAGATGAGGATGGCATCTGATCCATCGGAGGCAGCGCTGCCTCTTCAGACAGCCCGGTCTTTCCCTGCCATGGGTGAACTGGAAATGCTTGGGTCTGAACCAAGGTCTTATAAAAGCGTCCACCGCTCAGCTCTCAGCTTTTTCTCAACCTATGTGGCTGGCTTGGGGTGGGGAGGGTCATAGAATGCCAGCGCCTCCACCCCAGCACAACCGACTCTGGCCGGCAGCAGCTTCCCAGGTTCTCGGCAGTGTTTTTCCTCCTTAACTCTTTATTTTTTTTAAGTGCAGACGCTGGGGAGGAAGCCCCCCTCCTCCTGCCTGACCCTTTTCATTGGAAAAAAAATAAAACCAGGATCACAGAAGGGGGAAACCAGGAAACACAGTCAGGGAAAGCAGGAGAGGGACCCCAACGAACCTCAAAGGTTACACAACACAGCCCCGCCAGCAGCAGCGTCGCCTGAGGCCGGTGGACAAGAATGAGCACTGGGGGTTTCCAAAGTGGACTCCGTGGGGGGGAATCAACAAACCCACCCACCCACCCCAAAAACACTGTTCATTTCCATGTGGTTGCATTCTGAGCAAAGGAAGCTTTAAAAAGTGCTCTAAGCCTGTTCTCTTTTCAGGAGAAAAACGCACACATGGCGTGTACAGAAAGAAAAATTTGGGAAGACCAGGAATTCCTCCATTTGGCTCCTTTATAGCCACAACCTTCCTAAAACAAACAACACAGAAACTGGATGATGTGTTTTCTACGGTGTGGGGGTTCTGTGCCACCAAGCAGGAACTGACTTAAGGTGATCCTCAGAGGACTTCCAAGGTAAGTGAGATATGGAAGGAGTGGTTTTACCAGTTTCATGCCCCCCCAGTGAGTTCCCATGGCTGAGTTCGAACCCAGAACTCCTGAGTCCTAAGCTGTCCCTCTATCCTCTACACACACCACACACTGGGGATCTACTAGGCGGGGTGAATCACAAACACCCCCCTCGGCCCTTTGCTTAGTTCATGAGACAGGAGGGTGAGAGCAGAAAGGTCTGGTTGGCGCTCCCTATAAACCAAATACCTGTCCCGGATCCCTCGGCAATGGCACACGGGGCATCTTTTGAGGCAGAGGAGGAGGAGGAGCTGGGAAAACCCACCGCGCCACAACCGCAGGCCCACCCCTGCTCCGGTCCCGGATTGCCAAGGGCAGGATCCACGCGGGAGACCTGGCCACCCAGGTTTACGAAGAGCATCAGCTGGTCCCCAACAAGACAGAGCATGCTTCCGGCCCCACCTCCAAACTCATGCCTACGCATTGATGCAAACACACACACACACACAGATCCCCCCTCCCCGGTCGTCATCAGTGCTCTCATCCTGGCAACCGGCCCAATCATTCAACCAGGAACTGGCCACCTTCTTTCCGAAGCCCCCCCCCCGTCTTGATCCTCTGCCAGGGGGGGCTCCCCCACTCTGGGAAAACCTAGGGTGGAGAGAGATGGACGGGCGTTTTTGTGTGTGAGCGCTGGCAAAAGGAACACCTTCTCTCTCTCTCTCTCTCTCACACACACACACACACACACACACTCGGCTCCTCTCGCTTATGCATGCCAAACCACCTCAAAGGTGTCACAGACACACAAACAGCAAGAGTGAATAGGACACGATAGGGGGAAATGGGCCATGTGGCACAGGACACCTTTGCTTACTAAACAAAGGGCGAATTAAACACAACCACGCCTTGCCTCGCCATCTGCTGCTGCTTTTTTTTTTTTAAGCGGCATTTTGGCACCCTCCAAGGACCCTAAAGGCAGATGATTCAAACCCGGATCTGCCCACCTTTCCCACCAGAAAGAACAGTCAGTCGGTTCTTCTGAAAACTGGCTCTTTTTTTCCTACCATTTCCCTTCAAGGGTATGGAAGCGTTCCCAAAACAGGCCCCCTCCTGAGTTGGACTATAACTCCCATGCAATTCAGGGGATTCTGGGCCTTGCAGTCCAAGATACTGGGAGGGCACCAGGTTGGGGGAAGGCTGGCACGCTGGATTTAAGAGAGACTGGGTGTGTGTGTGTGTGTAGAGGTTTGGCTGCAGGCCTGAGATTTGGCGGTCCCGATTCTCACCCTCTCTTGATCATTAAACTCACTGGGTGACCTTGGGCCACTTTCTCTCTCTCTCTCTCTCTCACACACACACACACACACACAATCAGAACAACCTCGCAGGGTTGTAAGAGGGATAAAGTGGCAAGGAAGCAGATAGCTACGTTTTGCTGCCTGGAGGTGATAAATAAACAATGTTGGAAAAATATATAAAAACCCACCTTTTTTTAGCCATTATGGAGGCAAAGATATGAAAGTGGAAGAAGGATGGCGGCAACCCTCAGGGAAGCTCCAGGACCCTCTAACTAACAGCATCCCTTCGTTTGATGCCTGTCACCCTCAATTACTTCTCCCGTAAAGGGGTCTAGCCTCCCATCCTTGTCCGAATTGCTCTAGGAAGCCCCAATTAGCATGAACGAGACAGAGATAAACTCCAGCTTGAGACGAGGAAGACCCAGAGGCTTCTCATGGTGTCCCAGCACGGGAGTTAAACTCCCATCATCCTTCCTCCTCGGCTGATGGGCGCAGTATTTCAAAATGATTCAGAAGGCCACAAGCCGCCTTCCCCAGCGTAAGGTATCACAGCCCGAAGCTCAGAAGAGGTCCTGTTTTGGACCTCCCCCCCCCCAGAATCCTCCAGGCAGGAAAGGGTAGCAGCCGTACAGGGTGAAGGATTATGGGAACTACTGTTCCCCCAAAATTAACTTCTCCGTGCGCGCCTAGCCCAGGTTTTTATCTCACAACAAGCTCCTCCTTGACCTGTTTGTTTCCGAAGCCCGCCCGACTCCTTAAAGAGCTAAAGAGGAGCTTTCTATCCCCAAGACCCGGCTGGCTGGGGGATGATGGGAGTTGTGGTCTAAAAACCCAGAACGAGTGCTGTCCTTTCTGCGCAGGCAGTGACACAGGCAATAAGCCATGCCCAAAACACGCGTTGCAGAGACAGGAAGGCAAAATGCTGCTTTTGCCTCCCCGTGCTTTGAGGTTTCGGCAGCTTCCTCTCCTTTCCCCTCTCGGCAAACTCCGCTCACCCGGAGACTGCAGCCCTTCCAGACAACCTTGCAAAGAATCCGGGGCCCGGAACAGAGGGACGGCCTGCGCTCAAGCTGTCCCGATAATCCTCCCGATTTCAAAAATAGCCCCGCTTACGTGGGGCAAGGGAGGTCTCGAACGAAGGCCGGGAGACCCCTCCCCAAATTCACAGCTGTTTGCAACTCATCACCCATTCGCCAGGCCCTTTGCAAGGGGGGGGCAGGAAAACCTGCCCCCTAAAGGATTGTGGGTTTTTTTGCTCTGGGGAGGCTACAGCAGCTGCAGTGAAGTGCATGGGTTAGAGCGCTGGATCGGGCCCTAGGAGACCCGGTATCAGGATCCCTCCCCACCGCCCCTTCCATCAGGCGCACAACTTTCTGGGTGACCTCAGGCTGGCCTCTCTCGCACCCTGGACTGTATCACAAGGCTGCTGTCAGATCAAACAAGAAGCAGAAGGTGCAACAGAAATATAATTAAGAAACCGTAACGAGCCATGAATCAGGGCCTCGGAAGCCTTCCTGCAGAAACCATGCAGGAAGGACGGCAGCCTTGAGGTTCCTTGGCCCAGAAACGATTAGTTAATTAATCAACCGACCCACGTGATTGCCGTTCTCTCATTTGCCTTTGTGTGTGAGAATTCAAACACAATAAAGTTAAAAAGACAGTAACTTGTTCAAGTTTTTTTAAAAAAAAAAAAAACCAAGTAAACATATAACAGTATAAAAACTGCAGCTGTTGAAACAAGATAGACAGAATCAGCCTGTCCCAGACCAGTATCATCTGTTCCAAGATCACCAGCAGGTCTCTGCGGTTTGAAAAGCAGAAAAGGGGTCTGGTTCTAGAGGGTGCGGATGTGTGGTTTTGGACTACAACTCCCAGAATGCCCCAGGCAGGGCAACAACCTGTCGTTCAACAACCACAAATCTACATGCCTCTAGTCTTTCCCATCGTTCCCTATCCATTTCTCTTTACTGAAGATGCTGGCATCACAACCTGAGACTTGCAGCTCACAAAGCAAATTGGCTCGTCCTACTAAGTTTCTAGTCCTCAGGGATCCAATGAAAAGTCTGATTTAACATGAATCTTAGAAGTAGTCCTATACAGAATCAACCCGATCTAAGCTACTGTACGACTGAACGGCAATTCTGATGGGTTTGTCGCTTGCGCTTTTAAGCCGGAGATTAAACTGGAAATGTCCACAATGCAAAAAACGCTGAGGCTAAGCTGCAGAAAAGGAATACGTGGCTGGCTGGGAATTATGACTCCTGGGAGTCCTAGTTCAAAAATCTAAGATTTCCAGGCTGTGGCTTGATACATTCCCAACCTCTAGAAGCAGTATCTTTTTTATTTTTAAAGAGAGAGAAAATGTGTGCTTTAAAAGTTCCCATTTCAATGGTGCTCTGTGGGTTTGTTTTTTTTAATAAACCATAATAAAAATATACCAAAAAAAATATCGTCAAGAAGGCTTTGTACAGAAAAAAAGGCCCACTGGAGTTCTTCTACAGCTTCACA